GGGGGGGGGGGGAGCTTTGAGGCTTAGGCAGAGAAGACTGAGAAAGAAATCTGGGTAGGCTCCAAGGACTCCAGAAGAGTGGGAGTACAGAAGAGAGCTCAAAAATGTAAATGTTTTGCACTACACCTCTCAGACCCCCCACCCACCCAGCACAATTAGCCGAGGGATTTTGAAATTTATAGTCCACAAGCTGCTTCCCTGCTCTTGTAGAGAGCTCTAGATACTGTAGCTCCTGAAACTGATTGATGTGGCTTGAATTCTTCTTCCCTCAAAGCTAGCTGGGCAAAAATTAAAAGTCTGATATTGTGTTAATTGATTCAGATGCAGGGATGCGGCCTGGTTTTAGCACTCAGCAGCTAGCTGCTATGATTTGCTCACCTTTCTTGGGAGCAGAGCTTTGCTATTCAGAGAAGAACTAAGCACAGAAGTAATGCAGAGGGAATGAGAGAGAGAGAGAGAGAGAGAGAGAGAGGTGAGTCTGGGAGTAAAGAAGCTGAGCTTTTCTATTTCTTCTGCCATTCTATAATATGAAAATAATTTGTCCATTAAAATTGGGATCCCTTTTGATTTGATCTTTGTTTCATTGTTGACAAGCCTCCACTTTGAAAGCACTTCTGGGAACTATAATGAGATTTGTGTTCTGTTTGCAGGAACCTGGGGGGGGTGTAACCTGCTCAGAATGGAAATCTGCAGGTCAGTACCTACAAAAGTAGACTGTATGCCCAGGTGAAGTCAAGAGGCAGCAGCAGAATCTTCATTTAAGATATTAGAAAATGTAATGCTGGAACAGTAACACGTCCTCTTGCCAAAGAAGTATAGTACTGTAGAAGACTAAATTCCAGATGCTGGTCCAGAACCCACATGTAATTCATTACTGTACTCAGAAACAGATGCATTTACTGACCTTAGCACATTACATTTTCTCCCAGTGAGAAAATGAATGCAGGCAGCAGTCCTGACAATGAAGAACATTGAAAGGGCATAATGGGCAAAACTTAGGGCTGAAACAGCACAAGCCATAGGTGGAGAGCAATGCATCTGAAGTAGATCTGAAAATCAGAACTCTTAATGCAAGTTTTTCCATTACTAAGATTCAGACATGTAAGATGAATGTGAATATTATAATATTGTGACTGTGGGGTATAACAATGGGATTGTTTGCTTATGTTTGGTGAAGCTTGGAAGTGCTAGTTCTTGAACTACAACTCCCAGAATCCCCCAGCAAGCAAAGTCAGTTTGGGAGATGTAGTCCGAAAATTAACATCTTCAGGTTCTGATGTTGATGATATGCTTCTTTTGCCTCTCTCTGCAACGTGCCATCATTCCATGTTCTCACTGATTTCTCTCTCCCTACTCCCTCCCCTCCCACTTGACTATATTCCACCTCTTTCTTGTTCTTTTCTAAACCTTTCCTTCTTCAGCCTGTTTTGTTTCACAAGGCCATCCCAGTATCACATATGATGTAAAATCCAGTCCCCATGTGCACAACTGAAGGTGCCATTTGGGTTTCTTTGGTGCAATAGCCTGGCTAAACTTCTATGAATACAGCTGCCTTCAGGAGTTAATTAAATGCACTCTGTCGATGTGTGATGCTCCAGGCCGTCCATGGACAAAGGGACATTGAAAGGACTTTGGGGAAAGACGTAAGTGCCAGTCAACTGGAGTACTTTTGTTTTGGTCCTTTATTGCATACAGCTATTTGCAGGTTTGCTTCCACCACCACCCCACCTGTAATTCCCACCCAGCACTCTTCCAAGTCCTTGAGTCTGGGCCCAAAAGTGGTTCTGTTCACCCTCCCTGAGTTGTGCCTGGTCGGTGCTAGGGTGCTTTCCTCTGGCTAAGTCCACACAGTTCTCTCCAAGCATCCACAGAGACCTGACCTTGGTCCATGTAATGACAAAGTCACTAGGCCTGTTGCTGTGTGAAATACAACTGCTTCATCTGGTTTGGGGCAGGACAAGTGACAATGTAGTCTGGCATCATGTGACACACAATCTGTTCCTCACAGGGTCTCAGTCTGTTGGGCCTCCCCTAGATGCTCCTCACCATTCCTGTTGCCATCTTCCTCCTCCTCATTTATAGTCTATCTCTCTCTCTCTCTCTCTCTCTCTCTCTCTCTC